ATCTCATGGTTTTGTCTGCAGCCGGTCTGATAATTCTCTATTTATTTTTCGGCGTAATTCTGATGTTATATACCTGTTATTATATGTTGATGATATCATTGTTACAGGTAATTCTACTACATTAGTCAGTCATTTTTTATCTCTTTTGGGTAAGTGTTTTGCGATGAAGGATTTGGGTGACTTACATTTTTTCTTAGGCATCCACGCTACTTATACTTCCTCTGGGCTATTCCTCTCTCAACATAAATATATTTCTGATCTCCTTCATTGTTTTCATCTTCACACACTCAAACCTGTTCGTTCTCCACTTCCTAGCCGCACTAAACTTTCCCTTACTGATGGAGAACTACTTGCTGATGCCACGGATTACAGAAGTATGGTAGGTGCATTACAGTATTTGACTTTGACTAGACCAGATATTACTTTTGCTGTTCATTTGGTTTCTCAATTTATGCATGCCCCCCGTACTTCACATTTGTTGGCTGTTAAGCGTATTTTCAGGTATCTACAGGGCACGTCTACTCATGGCTTACTCCTTCAGTCTACTCACGGCTCTCCAGAGATCATTGCCTATTCTGATGCTGATTGGGCTGGGTGTCCTGATACAGGCCGATCCACTTCTGGTTATGCAATTTTTCTAGGACCGAATCTCATCTCCTGGCGATCCAAGAAGCAGCCGACAGTCTCCCGCTCTTCCACAGAGGCTGAATATCGAGCCGTGGCTTTTACAGTACAGGATACTCTGCATATTCGCTCTGTTTTATTCGAGCTTGGTTTTCCGGTTCGAATGCCTACTAAGTTGTTTTGTGATAATGTTTCCGCTTCATATCTCTCGGTTAATCCTATTCAGCATTCAAGGAGTAAGCATATTAATATTGACTATCATTTTGTTCGTGAGCGGGTTGCACATGGTGATCTTTGTGTTAAGTATGTTCCTACACAGGCTCAGCTGGCAGATATTTTTACAAAGTGTTTGTCCCCACAACGGTTTACTCTTCTTCGTGACAATCTGCGCATTGTTTCCCCTGCACAGCTTGAGGGGGTTTAATAGAGTAGATTAGTGTAACACTTGAAATTTAATATAAACGGATTAATAATACTACTCATACCAACAGAGGTGCATCTCCTTTTACGGGAGCTCATCCGCTAAGAACTCCAAAGTTAAGTGTGCTTGCACGGGAGTAGTCTTGGGATGGGTGACCCCCTGGGAAGTTTCTCAGGGCGCGCATGAGTGAGGACAAAGTGCGCGGTAAAGGCTTGTGGTGGTTTGTGGGGACAGTACTGGAGGTCCAGAGTAACTACCTCGGGTCCTACGGGGCCGGGGTGTTACAGGTGGTATCAGAGCAACTCTGCGACAGTGTGCTGATCCGTTGGATATCGGGCGGGCACTTAGCGGGGGAAGATTCTGGGATTTGATTGAGATTTGAGATTGGTTCAAGGGCGCAACGAGGACGTTGCGATCCTAAGTGGGGGTGATTGTAACACTTGAGATTTAATATAAATGGATTAATAGTACTACTCATACCAACAGAGGTGCATCTCCTTTTACGGGAGCTCATCCGCTAAGAACTCCAAAGTTAAGTGTGCTTGCACGGGAGTAGTCTTGGGATGGGTGACCTCCTGAGAAGTTTCTCAGGGCGCGCATGAGTGAGGACAAAGTGCACGGTAAAGGCTTGTGGTGGTTTGTGGGGACAGTACTGGAGGTCCAGAGTAACTACCTCGGGTCCTACGGGGCCGGGGTGTTACAGGTGGTATCAGAGCAACTCTGCGACAGTGTGCTGATCCGTTGGATATCGGGCGGGCACTTAGCGGGGGAAGATTCTGGGATTTGATTGAGATTTGAGATTGGTTCAAGGGCGCAACGAGGACGTTGCGATCCTAAGTGGGGGTGATTGTAACACTTGAGATTTAATATAAATGGATTAATAGTACTACTCATACCAACAGAGGTGCATCTCCTTTTACGGGAGCTCATCCGCTAAGAACTCCAAAGTTAAGTGTGCTTGCACGGGAGTAGTCTTGGGATGGGTGACCTCCTGAGAAGTTTCTCAGGGCGCGCATGAGTGAGGACAAAGTGCACGGTAAAGGCTTGTGGTGGTTTGTGGGGACAGTACTGGAGGTCCAGAGTAACTACCTCGGGTCCTACGGGGCCGGGGTGTTACAATTAGTTATTTATTTAATTATTATTAGTATGGGACTCATATTGTAATTATTACTCTTGTTTCCTATATATATATCTGCCAGGGCTAACATTATGGTCAAGTCTGGTATTATTTCTCACAGCTGCTTGCTTGTTACAGAAAAGACTGAAAAGAATGGTGCTACTGCGGCTAACTTCAGAAAAAATGAAAGGAAAGAGTGGATGGTGCGGTGCCGCTGCTATCCCGAAAAAAAAAAATCAGCTGATCCTTTTTTTTTGGGCGACTAACGTTGCTGCTATCTTTTTTTGGGATATAGACCTAAGTAAGACTAAAATAAAAGTCAGGAAGGTAAATAGGAGTTAAGGCTTTTTAACTCCTAAATAAGACTTATTTGAATCAAAGGGACAAAATTGCCCTTACTAAACCTATCTCGTTCCCAGGCTGCGACAATATTGCTGCCAACATAGGCAGAGAAGAATCACGAGATCCTGGAGGGGGTCTCTTCCGGCTGTGCCACCGCACTCCTGATCTTCTTCATAATCGCATGAGTTTGTCAAGAGACGAAAGCGATGCGGTGAGACTGAGACACAGTCTTAGAAAATAAGAATTCAGGGGTAAATCTGGAATGAACGGATATTTAAGTCCTATTTAAGAGTTAAAAAAGTCAAACTCTTATTTAATTACATACGAAAACTTAAGCTCCTATTTAGTACCATTTCTCTTTTTTTTTCTTTGGGCTGTTTGTTCTTTTTTTCTCTTTTCTTTTTGGGCTGCACTTAACTTTTAATACAACGCTCAAATGATTCGGCCCAAATAAGTCACCGCAAACTTCAGTCTGTAAAATCACAACTCACTACACCCGCTAATAGAGATGGCAATTGTGACTGATCCGATGGATACCCGCACCGAACCGCCCCGGTCAAAATGGGGAAAACCATATTGACCGGGTAATGGGTACGGGGCGGGGAATACCCGTTTTGTTTTTACGGGTAACGGGGCGTTTACGGTTTTATGCATGCCCGCCCCATTACCCGCCCTGTTTATTTTTAGTTATATTTTATTACGTTCTTATCTATTATTTGTCTTACAACTAATAAAAGATGAGATTTTTAATGTTCATTGTGTATATATGGATAATAAATGTACTAACTATAGTGTAAGAATGAAAGTTCTCAATAGAACTTAATAGCCTTGTTTGATTATTACATGATTTTTTGTGATTAATTATTTTTCAGTTCAAGTATTTTTAGGTTCAAATTAATTTAGGTTGTTTTCTTTCTCGTCTTATAGATATATGAAGCTTTAAAGTGGCGTCTGAGTCTAGCGTCGTCTAGGTGATGCCATTTTCCGCCTTTTAAAATATTATTTTTTGTTAAAATATCAATGACTCATTTAATAAAGTGATTACCCGCGGTTACCCGCAGCTATACCCGTTACCCGTTGGGGCGGTTATGGTTTGGGTACAAATTACCCGTTGGGTAATGGGGCGGTTATGGGGCGGGGGAATTACAAAACGGGGCGGGTACGGTTATATGTAAAACCGTCCCCGATCCGCCCCGTTGCCATCCCTACCCGCTAATAATATGCAATTTTACAATCAAATTACTCCAAATATGTCAAATTGTGTAGAAAAACACTACACTGAATAAAAATGCCACCGAGACCGAAAAATGACAAATTTTCACACAAAACCCCAATAGTGACCCAATTAATTATAAAAATTAGACAATTAACATCCAAAATATGAGTGAAAAGATAGGAACGGAACGAGCCTATCAAATATCCCCACACTTGAACGTCGCTTGCCCCCAAGCAACAATGCATTAAACCCACAGAAAACAAAATAATCATATGTAAAACCTGGTTCAAAAATCATTCACACCCAAAACAAAATGGTTGCACAAGGTCTTTTCTTTCTTAACAACGAAACCAAGATTCACATGTTAAACAATATTTTCAAAAGTAAAATCCCTCTCCAACCGACTAAAATGTAAAGAAAAGCATGATGGTCCCAACGGTGTAGGTGTGTGAAATTCAAACCACCAATCATTCAAAAAAACCAAGAGCTGTGTGATAAAAACCGGTATACTCGTGATATTTTTTTTTATATGTAAAGGTTGACCAGGTTCTGGATTGCAGGACAGATTCAAGCTCTAGGGCCTGGGAGTTTATCTCATTATTGTGTACTCAACTCTCACACGGGGTGATTCGCGAGATGAGCATAGCCCCATTTCGGGGATGAAATTCTCGACACACGAAGTGTAACCCCATTACAAGAATCAGTTACCTGCTTAGCATGAAGTTATCCCGATATGCTTAGAAAGCAGAGCTCCTTACGGAGTAAGGATTTTCAACACCTGGCCAGCCAAGGAATAATTGATGACGAACAAGTGAATCACGAGTAACACCGAATTTAATCAACACAGATCAAACCATCCAACATGCCAACATTCCCAAGAATATACACACCACCCCGATGATTACACCATTACTAATTCTTTCCAAGAAAGATGGAGGAGATGGAAGATTACAAAAGAAAATAAAGATTAACAAGTTACCTCTATTGCGTTGCTAAACCAGAAAAAACCTCGTGCACCTCAAAATGTTGTTGGACAGAATAACCTCATCACCAAATGCCATGTACAAGCAACAACCAAACCTCCCCACACTTAGGGGTGACATCGCCCTCGAGGTCAAAGAAAAGATTTAAAACAACAAAACAGGGGTAAGTTAAAGAATAAAATGATTTTCAGCCCGGCAACACATCATAATCAGGATAATAATCATCACAATTCAACAAAGGAGTAATATGACAGTAAACACACATTCTTAGCAGCGTAGTAAAAGTTGGCAGATTACCATACAAGCCAAACGGCGGTGAATAACTTCTAGAATAACTTTAACTCTCTGCATCTACTATCTCCTCGGTCTCTCGTGGTGAGATGTACAGACATTGCGCCTAGAATCATGATCTTAAGAATGAATTGCTCTCCTGGATGCATAAATTCTGCACACTTGTTCCTGGTAATGCAAATGAAAGTCCCTCTACTCTTGAATATGTGTGGTAAGAGCTACCATAATTTGGGCTGCATGTACTGGGCTTCTGGTGGCAGAACACAGTACTGGTATTGGCATCATCTGTCACAAAAATGCTGAAATCTCAGCCCATCAAACTGAAACCGATGAGAGTGTTGGGCATTTAATTGCTTCTTCCCTCCTGTAGTAGGATGATTACCCAGAATCTGTCTGAATCTGCATAAAATCTTCCTTTCCTGCTACCACGTTTCTGTCCCGAGAGACCCTAACTCCTTGAGCATGTGTAGGTCACTAATCGTTAACCCTGGATTAGGTACTCATAATTAAAATTAACATCACAATAACATTTATAAACATGATACGGAGCTAGCAAACAACTGGAGTATGACTATTCAATGGAAAAAAAAAACTGAAATTATAAGTTGGAGATAAACAATTCAAAATTCAATCCAAAAGTACGAACTAGTAATGTAAAACTTACTGAAACTTACAACCATAACTTGGAATCTAAACTTTATTGGAAGCAATTGAAAGAAAAGTGATGTTTAGGAGCTTGGTTATCCTCTCTTGGCTGCTGCTACGTTATTCCTTAAGGGAGAGAAAGAAATTGCTGGTGCTTGCCACTTGATTTTAGCGGCTGATTGTAAAGGAAAAAGTAGCTGCTTGCTTGTTACAGAAAAGACTGAAAAAATGGTGCTGCTGCTGCTAACTTCAGAAAAAATGAAAGGAAAGAATGGATGGTGCGGTGCGGCTGCTATCCTGGGGAAAAAACCTCAGCTGATCCTTTTGTTTTTTGTTTTTGGGCTGCTAACGTTGCTGCTATCTTTTTTTTTTCTTTGTGCTGTTTGTTCTTTTTTTCTCTTTTTTTTATGCTGCACTTAACTTTTAATACAACACTCAAATGATCCGGCCCAAATAAGTCACCGCAAACTTCAGTCTGTAAAATCACAACTCACTACACCCGCTACTAATATGCAATTTTACAATCAAATTACTCCAAATATGTCAAATTGTGTAGAAAAACACTACACTGAATACAAATGCCACCGAGACCGAAAAATAGCAAATTTTCACACAAAACCCCAATAGTGACCCAATTAATTATAAAAATTAGACAATTAACATCCAAAATATGGGTGAAAAGATAGGAACGGAACGAGCCTATCACAAACAGATCCCTGTCCGCACTCATATTACTTTTAGAAAAAACAATTATATATTCAGAAACTACATTAAAATCTTGCAAAGTCGCAAATACCTGATTCAAATTTGATAAAAATTTTATATATAAAGTAAGATATTAAGAATGATTTGTGTTGACCAGGTGAATAGGAACTGGGAACATCAAATTGAAGCGGAGGTAGTAGAAATGTAAGGGAGAGCTTGATGGGATGGAAATAGGCTCCACCAGGATTCAAATCTTTTGTGTTCACACCTTCTCAAATATCTCCCTCTTTTCTTTATGTCTTATGCTTAGTACTTGTCAACATTAGCTCCTCATTTGGAGACTAAACATGCTAAAAATATAAAGTACTTAAATAGACTAAGCCTAAAAGTGTATATGAATTGGCCCATTTAATGTGAATGAAAAAAGGTGTATTTATAGGTGTTTGGGGGTGTCAGGGTTGTGTACACGACCGAGTATATATGGTACCCGATCGGGTATATAGGGTAGTCGATCGGGTACCTTCAGCAGTTTCCCACAAGGTGTACAATGTGAGCATACCCGACCGGGTATGTCGGTGTACCCGATCGGGTATCAACCGATTTTGCAGATTTCCAGCCACGTTCCAATGTTCTTCCGAATTTGATCTTGACACTCGAATCCCAGCAAGTACCTGATCGGGTATTGCCTATACCCGACCGGGTACACGAAATATTTTCAAATCCTCGTTTGATCTTGCCCCTTTTTCATATTCTTTGGTATATAGGGTCCATCTTTTGATCCTTTTGATGATTTCGACCTGTCATAAGCTCAAAATAGTATTAATCTAAATAATTTACAATATTTAAACAAACTAAAGTATTACACCAAAAGTGTGTAATTTCCAAAACAACGAACTACAAAACTAATTAAAAATGCAAACATAACAATGGAAATTACATGAGTGTCACCCGGCTAGTCCCAACGGAAGCTACCCGTGTTCATCCCGTAGGGTTGTTTCTTGTTTCCATGCATCTACGCTCCATTTCTGAAAGAAAGTTTGGACGAGTCGTTAGACTCCTATCAATATCAATTGACAGAATAGTACCATAGTCCATAGACACTCATTGGCTCAATTCGCCGACATCCAATGGTTAAGGGTACCGTGTGAACGACTAGAGACCTTGCAACTTGAGTACCAATAGGCCTATAAGCACGAAAATACATTGCTCGTGGTTCTCAGTAAACTCTTTTTGTAAAAACTCTTGTGAGAGGTTGATTACATAGTTTAGAAACATGGATGGCTCTGATACCACTTAATTTTCACGCCCTAGACCACATCTAAGCTCATGTACAACCGCTGTACAGTCAAGTGGCGTCACCCTCAGGTCACACTCACTTGATTATATAAGACGTCCATAAACATAGTCCATACTGTCAGGTCCCCTAGATTGTGATGATTATTATATTTAATTTTGATGATGCCAACCCTTTTTATTATTCCTGTAGTAGACTAGATCATGTTTATGGTCTACTTATGTTTGTTGTAATGTGTTATCTTTAGTGGAAAAGAAAGTACTCATAAAAAGCATAAAAGAATACTAAAAAGAGAAGAAACGTACCAAAAGCAAAAAGAAAAGAATCAAAACAAAAAGGTACGAAAAGAGTCAACTGAAACACTTTGATAAATCGGCAGCCACCTGGAAAACCAAAATCAACAGCCTACTGAAAACCACTTCAACCGACTCTCAATTTGCTTTTCCAGAAAAGGCAACCAAAATCTACTGCTCTTCTCTAAAGCACAAAAACAATAAAACAAAAGACCAACTTGCAGTCAAAATGACAAAAAGATATAAAGCAATTTTATAAGAAATTTTTACCACCTTATGAAAATTTCTTATAAATTTATTCTACTAAAAGAAAGTAATTTTATTGTAAGGAAGCATTGAACAATACCCAGCTTATATACTCAACTCTTCAAATAAAAGATTAAAAGATATACCATCTTTATCTTATTCATTGAGATGAGGAATACCAAGTTGAATAATAACTAAGAGATTATGGGATTCAAACAAAGGAGAACAAGCTTTGGCAAAGTTTTAAGGGACAGAGGTAGTATTTGTATTAGATTTTGATGTTATTGTCTAATTTGGTATTTAGAGTACCCCATGTAGATAAAATGTACTTACAATTTTCAGATGTAGAGTACTGGAGTTAATCGACTGCCATATTCTTGTGTTAATCTCGACTAGAGATGGAGACACACAGGCAAATCTGTAAGGAACATATTTGACCTCAAGCAGAGACATCTACTTCCAGAAATGTCTTTAACCGAAAAAGGCCTCGCACAGAATAGCTCAAGACGTTAGAAGTTTACGTTAAACTAATGTACCAAGCTGACATTGAGGAGTCTTTTAACGGGAGAATGTACGAAGAAATGTACTAAATGTGCACTTAATGTTATCTACCTGTTGAGAAATCAAAGGAACATGATTGACCATACCAGTCAAGAGAATAATATTAAATATCCATAAATAGTAAGTTGATGGGAATATTTGAGTTGACACAGTCAAGTCTACAGGACAAACAATTAATGAAGTTGTCTTTTATACTCCAACAGGAAGACTACTACCGGTATATAAGATACATTTAGAAAAACATATGAACAACAGACCTCACTATTGCAATTCAAATTCTTGAGAACAAACATATACACATTCTATACAAGAATTTAAACGAGAGATTGGAAGATTCACAACTCACATCTTATATCCAACTCTTAATACAAGCTCGTTCTTGTTCTTCAACCCACTTCGAAATCACAAAGATTTACATCTTCAAAAAGAAGGGGCACCATAGTAACTCGAATGAAGTGTTGGTACTTCAAGGAGCTCGGTGAAACGGTCAATCATCAAGAAGCAAAGTTACACCTCACGTGACAAAGACGACTACACATGAAGAAGATGAGAATAGCTTCTTAAGTGCTAGAGAATCTAGGCATTGTAACAAATTTATAAGTGTTTAGTGGAGCAGTGGGCTAGATGAACATGTTGTTCCTTGAACCACTATGAAAATCCTTGACGTCATTTACTTATCTGCTTTTACTTTTCTACACTAGGCAAACCTGTTTACTCAATGAAGTTGACTATGTGCTTTAGTAGATTTCGCTCTAGAGAAACAGAAAGCAAATCTGCCTTAGTGCTTTCCAAGCTCATCCGACTAGATTTACCTTTCCGCTGTAAGGCCAAATCTGCCCAGATTTGTGCCAACTTTGTGTGACGGTCAAATTCGGTCTCACAAGAAAAGAGAATCCAAGAACAATCTATTCACTCCTTCTAGATTGTTTCTCTGTTAGTTAACCAGGACCAACAACATTGAAAAAAACCAAGGAAAAAAGAAAAAATGATACACTGCAAGGAAAAAAGAGAAAATATGAATATTTTATATGGGGTAGTGGGATCGATTGTGATCACATGGCATTTAAATCAGATGAAAGAGGCATTGAAAATTAGACTAAATGCTTAAATATGTTTTTAGTCCCTATAAACATGACTCACTTTGTTTGAGGTGATTGCAATTGTTTTTGCTTTCCATCCATGCAACATGCACTATTTTGTTTCTAGTGCTTCTTTAACTCCAAAACCATTCTACTTAGAGAAAAAGTTATTGTAAGTTGCATAAATATACTAGAAACCTTTAGATTTATCCTTTTTTGTAAAACTTTAAGGCTAATATGAGAGATAAGACAATGTAAAACTAATTATTCAAATTTTTTTAAAAAAAAAATTTATCATCAAAACAAGCCTCTATTCATATCAAAAGATTCAAGATCATTACATCAAACAAAGGGAAAATAAAACTGACACCAACTGGACTCCAACAACTACGACTGTAAACCCTATGATCAGACTTTGAGACGGTCACCCCTGAAAGAGCACCACGAATCGCTAACCATGTAGTGGGTTTGACACAGCCAAACCTGTTCCCATATATCCAACCATACCCAATGACATAAAGAGAAGCTAAAAACTCAAACAAACTGTCAAAATCAACAATAAAGATGAACACAAGAAAACAAATGACAAACGAAAAAAAATTACTGGGAAAACTTTCACGGATTCTAGCGCCTCGTACAACCCATGGTGGTGGTTCAGACGGAGGTCGGACCGTTGCTCGAATGATACACTCTCTCAGTAGCGTACCCGCCGTATGACCCAAATTCATGCCATCGAATGGAGCGTTCAACCTCTCCACGCTAACCATGTCTCGATCATCCCTACGCCTCTCTCCCGCTTCTTCCACCATCTTCTTGCTGTCACGATCATCCATCCCGAGCTACGTCAAAACCAAGGCAATCCTGCGCAGATCTACGTCGATGGAAAGAAACGGCGCACCAGGACGGCGAAGGACAAACCCTATGCGAGAGCTCTCGCTAGAGAAAAACGGCGCTAGGTTTTTTATTGAGAAATTTTAAAAATAAATATTAAAAGCCTTCTAAAAAATAAATGAATTACTTTTTGAATAACATGACAAAAAATAGATAAATGTATTAATCGAAGTTATTTTGAGGTCAAAGCCAAAGGAAGTTGTTATGGATCAAAAAGAAGAAAAAGGAATATATTTATGATAATCCGACACCTAAGGGTGCGTTCGGTAACATTTCTGTTTTTCGATTTCTGTTTTTTTCTTAGAAAAAAACAGAAACATTTTTGGTAAA